AATTGGATGAAAACTGTGGAAACACAAACAACATCCAATCACACACACATTTTGAGAATTATAGATATCATAACACTCTTGAGCACTTAAACCTTGGACCGGGTAGAATGGGGATCAACATGTTTTAGGGACTCAGCAGTTTTCAATGGGCTTGTCTGAATCATCTTCAAGAAGCGAGAGCAAGATCTAAAAGGTCAGCCAATCTAACAGTGATCTTATCCCACAATCCTTACTCTTACTCCATATGCGGCCTTCTTTGTAAATCACTAGCGGGTCTCAAGTGCCACTTAAGATTATCACACAAAATTTCATAACTGAATCAATTAAGCTGTCAGATCCTCATACATCGAAACCAATGGGAGAGCTCATTATATATCACACACAGACACACACAAAAACAATTTTCACAATGAACACATAGGAAAAAAATTCAAAGGATTCAAATAAAAGATTATATGAACACAAGAGATCTTTTATAAAACAAAACACTAAATGCATCAGTTGTTCTCAGTAATGTGTGACCACAATTTTGATTTTAAAAAATATTACTCTAATTAAGAGAAAGCAATTTACTAAAACAAAAAATATATAGAAAGTGTTTTAATTTCTAGATCATCCACAGTAAGTTTACATTCAAGTTCTTACAATATTTCACCTATTATCATAACATGAAGCATTTAATAATGAAACTGATGGAAACATGAATGAAAAGAAAAAGAAATTAAATGAAATCAGCTAGACAACATATCCAAAACATTTAAAAAAAAAAAAATAAATTAAACTTAAAATTTTCGGTGCACCATCTCCTTCATGTGCATATGTAGTCACCTCAACATAAGCATCACTTTAGTTCAATGAAGTTCTGAAGGATGAAAGTGTGACATGAAAAGTTTTTCCACAAAATTCACATATCATTTACATACATTCCCCATGTATAATATGCAATTTTTTTTCTAAAAAATAAGTAAAATCAGGGGTGCATATTATGCACAGCTACAAAAAAAAAATCTTTAAACAATTTCCATAAAATAAAATAAGAATGATTATAAAACTAAATTAGAATAATATTATTCTATGTTTAAAATCATTTTTTTAAATAAGAGTAGGAAACAGTGGCTGTAATGAAATTGGAGAGGTACAAGTTATAGGATTTGATTACTAAACAAGGGTGCATATTATGTGTGAGTAGAAGCATTTTCCCATACTTTCAGCAATTTTAGGTGTGCGTATTATGGATGAAGGTGTATTATACATGGGGAATTACAGTGTGTGTGTGTGTATGTGTATATAAGTAAATATGAAATTTGTCATTGAGCTGATTCATGTTATATTCACCACCCAGACTCCAGAGTTTTGTAGATGAACCTTTTTTGTAATCATTCAGTCCACTCATCAGTAGGTATCACCAATTAACTCATTTTTGTTACTTTGATATTAAGTTAAAAAATAATTTATGCACTTTTTATTTGTCTTGGGTTGATTTTTTTCTTCAGTGTGTGAGTGTGTGTGTGTGTGTGTGTGTGTGTGTGTACATACAAAGAGTGTGGTTATTTCTCATTTTCATCATTTTCTTGTCTCCTTATACTCTCTCCCTAATCCTTCTCTTTCGATAATGTAACAATGTAATTTCCAATGTTACAGACATTTTTTTTTTGTGATTTTCTTAAATTTGGAAAATCTAGGTGCATTCCATTTTTGTTTATTTCTTGTTGGAATAATTTTTTTAATTAATGCTTAAATGGCAGAGTAAATATTTGTTTATATGTCTTATTTTTCACCACTTAACCATTATTTCATAGCTTGTTTTCTTTTACCTGGCTTGGTGGTAGGGTATTATTATTATTATTAATTATGGAAGGTTAGGTTTAACTATTTTATCTGTAAATTATATATAAATATATATATATATATATATATATATATATATATATATATATATATATATATATTGCTTAAATTACGTCTGGACTTATTCATTATTTCATTTAATTTAGTTAGTAGTTTGACTAATCTGGCTTGGTGGTATTTTAAATATTAGGGCAATATGGAAGTTTAGGTTTACAATTGTATTTTGTTTTTGTTTATATTACACACACCCACACTATTATGAAAGAATGACCAGCAGACAACTTACCAGAAGACCTAACACATTAGATGAGAAAAAAATCCCAAACAAAGAAAGAAAAAAGATAGATAAAAGGCAAACACCTATGTCCTATACTAATTAATGCTTATATTAATTAAATAGTTTATGTATCTGCACTTACCCATTTATTTAATTTTTCTTATTTTGTAATTTTTTTTTTTTCTATTTGCCTTGGTGTTAAGAAGGTATTAATTATGGAAGGTTAGGTTTATAACAGTATTGCTTTGTTGTTTGTGTGTGTATATATATATATATATATATATATATAATTAGTACCTAGATGGCAAAGTATTTGTTTATATGTCTCCACTTACTCATTTCATTTTTTGTGTTTAGTATTTTATTTTAGTTTCTAAAACTAATAGGTAATTTTTCTTCTAAGTATAGTTTGCAGTTTTTACTGTATAGTTCTGTAATTTTCACATTTGATTTTGATGGGGGGGGATATTGTTTTCTTTTTGGGTCCATATGTATTTTGATAAGGTTGTAAATATTGGCATTTTTTTTCTATCAAAGGAAATTTTGTGGTTGTAACTTATAATTTAATAATACCTTTTCTTTTAAGTTATTTCTGTATCACCTCTATAGACTTTTTGTCTTTAGTAATGTTATACATACACAGTATGTAATAATATCCATGATGTAGTATTACAAAAAACATAAATAAATGAATATCTCCCTCACTGTGTATGAATGCAACGTTGAGGCCTCTCTGTATCACAGGCTATAATTTAAATTTGGATGCTCACTTTTGCCTTGCCAGGCATAAAATTTATTCAACTATTAATTAGTATTACTATCAGTACTGTAAATGGAAATATAACAGAGTACCAGTGCCATAACATTTATTAGTACCTACTCATCCAACAGACTGTCTCAAACACACTATTATTAAATAGTCGCAAACTAGAAGAGATATACCTAAAAAAAAAATAAAAAAATAAAATAAATTAAAAATAAAATAAATTAAAATAAAATAAATATAAGTCAGACAAAATTGTCTTTTTTTTTAAATTTTCTGCTTTCTTTTTCTTTTGTAATGTTTTATTCCTGCTATCATGTACGATATTTTCACTGTTGTAATTTCCTAAGTTCAGCTGCACTGGTAACTTGATTTTTATATACAGTAATGTTTTTGGTTATCATTAAAGTGCTTTTATAATGATTTGCATTATTTTTTTAATACCATCCTAGGGTATTAAAAAAAGAAAAAATAAACTCTTAAAATTTATTACATACTATAATGAAAATATAATTCATTTGACAGTAACCACTAATGTGTTATGTGGAATGAACTAGCTTAATTAGGGATTTCTTTCAAGGATCAATTTTTTATCTTTCAACTTGCCATCTCATCAAACTAGAAAAACTACAGTCCAAAAGAACGTCACCTTGCTATTCAACCTTATCCTTCCCTCCAAAAAAAAAAAAAAAAAAAAAAAAAAAAAAAAATGTTTCAAAACAAAGCTACTTTTGAAATTTTACAACTTATGAATTCATTTAGCATATTTTTATTATTATCTGATTTTCTGACAAGATCAACAAATGGATGAGTAGAAAACTTAAGGAAGCTCTAAGGGATTTCAGATCACAGAAGTGCTGGAGATTTTAAATTATTTATTAGAAGTCAATCTTTGAGAGATTTATTATTGTATCAATATGAAAATGTATGAAATTAAGTAACACACAAAATTATCTAAAGAATATCATTTTAAAGTATACTATATTTATGGGTAAAAGTGCTTAATATTTGGGATAGAGTTCGCATAAACATAAGAGTGGACATCAATATCAACGCTAACTGGCGGCAGTCTGTTACATGCTTAAAAGTATGAATAGGCTCTTGCTAATCTGTGTTGACCTCAGTGTCCACTCAGAGGTGTGTGTGTGTGCTGAAAATTTCTTAGAACAGATTCACAACATATTCTAATGTTTGGCCCCAAACTTTCATCATTGGCTTCTTTTGTGTGTGTGTTTTTACACAAAAACACACACTTTGGAAAAAAAAAAAAAAAAAAAACTTGCACCAATGATAAGTGCATATAAAAAAGAAAAATTGCTGGTACCTCCTGATGAGTGGACAGAGATCTGTTTACAAAAAACTCTGCTGACAGCAATAATCAATCAGCTAAGTGACAAACCTTTTACTTATATTAATTCTCTCTCATATATATTTCAGACAACTGTTTTGGGATTATTCAATGTAAAAAAAAAAAAAAAAAAAAAAGTCATTAAGTATATTGAAGCAAAATGGTCAGCATTTTAAACAAATGCTGAAATTGAAATTTTTCTATTTTTAAAATCATTTTTGGATGTGGGTTGATTATATGTAGAATATCTAAATGTGATTTTTTAACATTGAAAATCTAACTACTTTTTTTTTTTTTTTTTTTTTTTTTTATTACAGTGTTACTGACTCCACAATTATTTTTGCCCTTCCCGGAGGGTGGGGAGATCCCACAAACAGAATGTCAAAGGAAAAAACAAAAAACAAAAACTAAAAAAACAAACAAAAAAACAAAAGATGAAGAAATACTCACAAAAAGCAGATTGTGGCAGAAGTTAAAATCACGTAGATGAAAGTAAAGAAAACTCCAATTTGAAAGTGAAATTGTTCACAAAATCCTCTAATTGAATAAAAAAAAAAGAAAAACTGGGAATCCTTTGTTTTATCATGAACCAATGTTCAGTAGAGTCAGATCGTGAAGAGGAAGAAAGATTGGATTAAAAGTGAAAGTAGCAGCAAGTGGTTTCTTAGCAGCAGCAGGAGCAGCAGAGGATGCAGTCTGATCACATAAGTGAATCTTTTAGGAAGTGTGAGGAGTAAATCTTTGTGGTTATTTATGATAGCTAACTAAGATGAGCAGTGAAATGAACAGAGAAGGAGAAGAAAGAGAAGGAGAAGAAAGAGAAGGAGAAGAAAGAGAAGGAGAAGAAAGAGAAGGAGAGGAAAGAGAAGGAGAGGAAAGAGAAGGAGAGGAAAGAGGAGAAGAAAACGAGAGGAAAGAAGAAGAAGAAAAAAGCGAGAGGAAAGAGAAGGAGAAGAAAAAGCGAGAGGAAAGAGAAGGAGAAGAAAAAGCGAGAGGAAAGAGAAGGAGAAGAAAAAAAGAGAGAGGAAGAGAAGGAGAAGAAAAAGCGAGAGGAAAGAGAAGGAGAAGAAAAAGCGAGAGGAAAGAGAAGGAGAAGAAAAGCGAGAGGAAAGAGAAGGAGAAGAAAAAGCGAGAGGAAAGAGAAGGAGAAGAAAAAGCGAGAGGAAAGAGAAGGAGAAGAAAAAGCGAGAGGAAAGAGAAGGAGAAGAAAAAGCAGAAAGAGAAATTAAAGAAAAAGAGGAAAGAGAAATTAAAGAAAAAGAGGAAAGAGAAATTAAAGAAAAAGAGGAAAGAGAAATTAAAGAAAAAGAGGAAAGAGAAATTAAAGAAAAAGAGGAAAGAGAAAAGACAAAAGAAAAGGAAAAGAAAGAAAAAATCTGAGTAGATAAAACAATACATAAAGTAGGTATTAAGTGAAAAAGTGTGTACAGTGTAGGGATGAAAGAAGAGAGAAGACTGTGTTAGAGAGACCTTTGTGGAACTGAGGGTGGGGGTAGATGTGAGAGTAGAGAAGAGACCCTTATAGAACAGAGTTGCAAGGAAGGGCTGATAGAAGAGACTCCTCTTTAGGTTTCCATATCATACACCATGATATTGGATCTAAAATCAAATTTAATATGTTCCTTTAAATTAAAAAATAATTTTTTAAAAATTGTGAAAATAAAAGTAATCTTTTCATTTTTAATTTCTGATATTTAACTGTTAATCTTTGTAACAGTTTATCAATTAGCATTGGGTGTCTTTATTTTATCAAGGTTAGTTATGTTATTTGCATCTTTGGCTTCTTTTTGTGAAGTTTATAAGCTTTTCTCTTTGCATTATACAAGATGTCTCAAAAGTCCCCCACAGTATTTATAAATGTCATAGCATGTCGAGATTTTTCATACTTTTGTCTTTCACATTTTTTGTCACATTTTTTTACCCTCACTCCAGAACTTACATTAACATAGGGAACTTAACTAATAAAAAATAAATAAATAAAATCATGGAATTTTATTTTGAATTTAACCAAACTTTCGTTCAGCAAATAATTTCACAAATTTCCAAAATTTTATGGTCACCATGTCTTCTGATCTGACACACCTGCCAATTATTTCCTTTGGAGACACCTTAAAGAATGTGTATGCATCAATAAGAGGGCACATGTTTAAGTGATTAGAATGCTCACTTTTTGAACACAAGACCAGGGTTTGAATCTCTCCAGTTCGTCAAGATAACTTCTTGACTGGGGAGGTAATCCCAGTATGTGGTACTTTTCAAAAGTGCCTGAAAATCATATGGGTTGACTCAAGTCTTGTGAATGAAAATAGATTGATGGAAGTGTTCAGAAGCAGTAGATAGTTGTGCTGTCACAAGTCATCTTAACTGAGGGTTTGAGCATAATTGCCTTATTGAAGAAATCAATCATGCCAATAACTAATGCCTGCTCAGCATAACTGTAGTATAAACAACAGACATGCCCCTTGGATTGAACAGGCATCTGTAATAGATTGGTGAGCCATTCTCGGTGTGCTTTAGAAACAAGTATTAGCTGGTCATTACATCAATAAACTCCAAACAATTCAGTAACTAATGGATAATATCTGTGTAGAAATTTGAGGGCTGCAACCAGAATTATTAACAACTATTATGGAGAATGCTATAACAAAGATGTGTATATGAAGTCAAAAAATTAAATGAGGAGTGGGGGGGAGGATATATTTTCGAGCATTTAAATTTTCATTCAGTATGAAATTATTTTTGAATAATAAAAAAATGATTTACACTATTTATATTAAGAGTATTGTCCTTGTCTGTTTTTGTTATCAACAACAAAGATGAGGACAATATTTATGTCTTACAACCACATCCAGTTAAAAGAGTGGTTTCTTTACAATCACCAAAGTTAATCAAAGTCAAGCCTGGTCAGTACATAAATGGGTGACCATTTTAGGATACCAGACATTTGGATTTGCAGATGGTGTAATGGGTAATAGCTCAGAATTGTTAATTGGAGAGCCAAGTTCCAATTCCCATTGGTTATGTGCAAATTCCCCTGGGAAAGGCATGAATCCACCTCTTCTCTCCACTCAACTATGACTTAATTAGTAAAACTTATTACTAAAAGTCTCATAATTAAAAATTAAAGCAAACATGTTCAATAGTTTGTTAATGATAAATTATTTTGATGTGGTAACACTTATAAATTTTCTTAAACTGCTCTAATTTATTTTTGTTCAGTAAGAGTTAAAAAAAAAAAATGGGGGGTTACTTTGCCACACTGTGTGTGTGTGTGTGTGTGTGTGTGTGTATGTATATATATATATATATATATATATATATATATATATATATATATATACATACACACTATTTCTAATGACAGTAAGAAAATCTTTTATTCAATCCAACAAAAACTTGTAGACAAAACAGTTTCTCTAGGAGGTTGAGAGAAAAGAATTTCACAAAAGAAAAAAAAAGTATCCTAAATAGGCCATTATATATATAATTGAAGTAGTAATAAATTTGATAACAATGATATTAATAAATATTAAATAAATTCTTTTGTCTCTTGTATGCATAGAAGAAAAATTTTCTGGTCCAAGTACTGTGGTCTGTGCTGAAATGTGTGATGTTCCAGAAACATGCAAAGAATCTATAGCTACTCAAAGTAACAGGGCTGCTCGTTCAGTTTTAAAAAGACAACTGTTTGTTTATTTGCTGATCAGTTTTTTTTTTGCGTCAAGATAAAATGTCAATATTTGCTTAAGCAATGACTAAAATTTATAAGTAATATAGGTTACAGTATCTGATTTGTACAGATTTTCAAAAAGTTATATTTATAAACTTAGTGAAAGTCACTTTTTCATGAAATATTGATTAAGAAGAACAATACTTTTTAACCCAAACTGAATGAAATTTATAAAATAAGGCAGATATTATTTAAAAACTGAACAATTTTAAATTTGCTTCTCTATGAGGATAAGTAATGTAACTTTTCATTTTTTTTTTTTTTGTTTCTAAATTTTTCTAAAACAATAAAAATTTATTCAAGTTCTGATCCATACATACTTTCAGAAACTGATCAAAGAATTAAAGGATTGGAAAATGTCATTAGAAACAAAGAAAAGGAGTGCTTGACTACTACGTAATATCTAATCTCCTGTATGACAATAAATGTAGGACAATTTCCTCACATATGAAGAAAAGACAAAATGACAAATGTGGTTCAACTGACTTGCTAAGAATACCATAGACAGAACACAAAAGCAACAAGGAAATTTAAGATAAAATAGCAACAACAAGGAAACATACAATTACAAAGAGACAGCTGAAATCCTGAGATGATGTTATTCTATGTGCCATGTCCCTTCAGGATGTTGGCAATCACAGACCGGCACCATTTCCTGTCCTTTGTAACTTAGTAATGTTAGTCTTTTTGCTATCTCTCCTAAATACTGTTCTGTCATGCATTTATGCAAGTTTGTTAGGTTACCTACTGTTTCTCTTTATTCCTCTTGCTTTCAATCTGTCCTGTGAGTATCAAATTTTCCAAGCCTCCTTCACTCATCAAATTTCAACTCTGATGTTAAGCATAAATGTCTTTTTTCATTTTCTCTAAAACTTTGTTCTTTCTAACATATACAGTCCATGATATTCTCTGTATCTTTCTACAGAACCAAATCTGTTGCCTCAAGTCTCCTCTTCAGTGAGGAAATCGTCCAGAATTCACTGCCATACGAGATGATTGATGTTACATAGCAGTTAAGCACTCTTTGTATTCTCAGTATCCTTCTATAGAACCACATTTCTGTTGCCTCAAGTCTTCTCTTTATCTGCAAAGAAATTGTCCTGTATTCACTGCCATTGGGGAGGATTGATATTACATTACTATTTTCCTGTTTCTTAATATTTTATTTAGCTTTTAGAAGGCACCTTTCAGTATTTCAATCATCATTTGGATCGTGGTGTTACACTTTGTCTTCTTTTAAAACACTTCCAAATATTAAAATTTTTATATTTGCTTGATTTTAGTATCTGTCTATGTTTCTGAGATGAGGTATTATGTACATTATTCAGACTATTGTCCTCATCTTTGTCGCCATAATATTACAACATTTTGGCCATTGTACACTCCAGCCTTTTTCAGGTGGTTGGAATGTCGAACTGAACCCTTCACTTCACTCACTGGGGTAGACTTTTCTAGTTCCATGTTTGATGGATGTCAGTTATCAGTTATCTCCTGTTAATTTCCCTCTGAAAGTTCTTCACTGCCTTAACCGGGTATTGAACTCACATTCTTTGGGTCCTGTCACTGGATCTAACTAACACCTTTATCCACTGTGCCATGGGGAATTAACAAGAGATAACTGACATCCATTAAACATGGCACATGGAACTAGAACAGTCTACCCCAGTGAGCGAAATAAAGGGTTCATTTCAACATTCCAACCACCTGAAGAAGGCCAGAGTGTACAATGGCTGAAACATTGTAACAAATATGGCGACAAAGGCGAGGACAATAGTCTAAATAATGTAAATAATTGCTTGATTTTAGTATTTCAAGTTTGTAATCCACATGTTTGGGCTGTTCCTGTCACTAACCGCCATGCATATAGAAATATTAAAGCATTAAGAAATTGGATAATATTCTTAGAAACTACAAAGGGAGTGATAAACTGCTATGCAATATCTAATCTTCTCTTCTCTTTGGCAGTGAATGTTGGACAATTTATTTAACGATAAGAAACTTTAAATAACAGATGTGATTCTCCTGATGAATGATCACAAAACCATGGTCTGTGCCCAAAAGTAATGAAGAAGTTTTAAGGGAGAATAGGAACAAGAAAGAGATATTTTCTTTTAATCATTTCATTCCAAGCAAGGCAATAAAGCCACTAAGACACAAGGGGGTTACTTAGTGTGAAGGAATAAGAAAAACGAGAAACATTATTAAGGAGCAAAAACAATAAAAAAGTAATCAAGGAGACAGTAGGTAACAATTGATATTGTATTTAAATTTTTGAAGAAGGTAACAATTGATATTGTATTTAAATTTTTGAAGATCAAAGTTGGCTGGAAAGAATGGAGCCAGAAGCCACAATGAGAGTAGTCCATGTGTTGACATAGAAATAATTTTACAGTCATCAATAGTAATCATCTAAGGAATGGATAATAAAATTATATAGAAATCTGTTCTGAGAGGAAGATAACAGTTAACTCTAGACTTGAACAGGTTAAGATTGCAGTGATCTGGGAAGCATCCTAATGGGAGTCGATTCCACAGAGCAGTGGTTCATAGGAAGACGATGTTTGAGTGAAACTTACTTTTCACCGACGGAATATGGAAGAAATGTGGGCAGTTTGCTATAATGCCAATGGCATGGCGGGACCTAGACTTGAAGGCTAGAACTGGCGGAATCAGGGAAAGTTGATCGTCCGAGCACTTTCCATGGAAGTAGCAATAGAGCAGTGAGAGGCTTGCCACATCCCAGCTGTGAGTGAGAGGTTGAAGAGCGGAAAATAACTCTTCTCCAGAAAGGACTCGGAGACGCTTTTGAACCCTATCAAGACTGGAAAATGTATGTCTGCCCCAAAACAGCA